TACATAATTTAGTAATGAAATTAAGTTTGTGTGATATTTTTCTCCAGCAATTTCTTTACATTTTCAGACACGCAATTAATTAATTAAGATAAGATAACTTTATAAGAGTTTTTTTAAAAGTTAATTTATGAGTAACGAAGAAATACTACTTTTGAAAAAAAGTGATTCTCATACGGGGGACCATTTTCAGATATTTTTTGTCGATTTGCTGAGATTTGAGAGGATATATTTTCTTTACCCCTGCTCCCGAGATGTGTACATGATTATTTTAAATGACAAATACTTACACAAAAAAGTGAAGGTGCTAGGCTTTGTCCCCAACAGCTCGTTCAACATCCTGTGGAAGGCCTCCAAAAAATTATTTGTCCGATCGATGAGATCGTACACGGAAAAGACGTGTGGCTTAACTTTCTTAATCCACTCCTCTTTATAGTAGTACATCAAAAATTTTAGCCATTTCTTCTTCATCAATTCATCGTCGATGAAAGATTTGCTGACAAGTTTTACAATAACTTCATAACCTTCTTCAATTTTATCGGCAGGGAGGAGTGGAAGAAGTAACAACTTTTTTAGTATAACATGACCTTCTGGGTTTACTTCTCGATTGTTGTGCCGAAAAAAAATCCTGTAGTCCTTTGACTTTGCTTTTCGTACGACTGCCTACACAGAAAACATGCAAATTAAGGTCATCGTAACGATGCACCTACGCCTATACATTACGAGTGTTCACATACTTATTATTTTCTTAAATTCATTGTAATCTAAAGAGACATGAGCTTACTTGTGATATGTAAAAGTAACACCCCTTTACTTTCATTCCATCGAAGGACTCCCGCAAGGACCTGATGAGCGCTTTTTCGTAATCGCACATGGCTCGGCGTGGCGCAAATGTAGGGCTGATTTCTTTGATGGCAGCCCACACTGCTTTATATGCATGGCTTGTTCGGCGACTCATGATAACAAATGCACAGGGAACAACCTATTAAACAAAATTTTTCCATGACTATTAACTTTGTTACGTTGTCAGAAACGTAAATTATAACAATTGTATACCGTGAGGTACATAGTAATCTGAACGTTTGTGATATTTTTTTTTGTATGAAAGTACGAAGTACTTATATTCAAATTAGATTATTTTTTTGACTCACCACATTTGTGTTTGTTTTTTTGACATTATTGTCAAAACTTGCTGAATGCCACTTACATTTGGTCTACATCTGAACGTTCCATCTACGTAGATGTCATTGTTTTCGTCAAACTTGTCTGGCAAATTTTTGTCATACAGCAACAAATGGTCGCTCTTCGATGATGATGATATCAATTTATACGAGATGGACATAGCGTTGTCTTTATCTTGAAAATCCAACAGCTTAGGATCCGCTTGGAGGCACTGCCTCAGAGCTGCAATGGAGCTATACTTCTTTTTATACCCACTTTGGCCTGTACATTTCTTCTTCT